AAGATGCTACTTCTGGCTCTTCCCTAGAGGAGCCAGGAAGGACTTCCCGAATTCCAGTGGTCCAAATCAGGCCACATGTCCACTCCTGAACCAACCGGCGTCACACGAGGAACACTCCTGAGCTGGGCAGAGGCCTGGCTTTTCTACCACACTCGCTTGTATGTGCAGAGTGAGGACACATGTAGCCCCCCGACTGTGGGAACAAAGGAACGAGCCTTGGGCCGGAATCGTAAACAAGTTCTAAAAAGCGGCAGACTCAGATGTGAGAAGGCTGGTTAGCCAATGACGGGTAAGGTCCCCAAAGGGGGCGACCTAAGACAGGCACAGCGCCTGTGTCCAAGAAGAATGTCGTTAAGCAGCTGTTTCTCACACATTCTGCCCTGATAAGCTGTAAGGCTCGCTGGTGCCAACACGAACATGATTTACCAAAACATAAAGGGTCTTCTGACCTTGAGCCAGACACTGCCTATTAACCATTTCCCTTATCATTCTTCTTTGCTATATAAGACTATGTAACTTAATAAAGCTTTAGAGTAGCCATCACCTCTCTCCGCATACGGTGTGTATGTGTACAAAATAGCGCAACACCAACAGACACGTGCTGAATAAAACTGGTTCTGCCTGGAGGAGGCTGCTGGATGAACAACCCACCGGGAACACCCCGCACAACTGGGAGATGTTTGCCAGGGTCTGACGTGCGATGTGTGATGTCTCAGGCACTGGGCTGATGCCTGGGAGGAGGAGCCTGCTTGATTATGGCCATCCACACACCACAGGGGTTGACTGTGCCCTACTGACCCACCACAGCAGTGTGACTGTCCCCTATTCACCCATTACATGGGTGTGAACATGCCCTGATACCACCAAAAATATCTGAAGAAAAACATTTAAGGGGAAAAAAAAGCTTATATACTTAACTGTTTCAAATGTGAACCCACTATTTTAGTTGCAAACCTGGTGTAATAAACAGAATGTGACGTGCACAGAAAGGGCAAATAAATCAGATGACGCTGTACCTGAAGTGACAGCAACCTAAACATTTCATCTTTCAGGAATTCTGATTTCACTAAAAACTTCAGTGCTAAAGCCACATGGTACATATTTCAGCCCCTTCCTCCCCTTCAGCATCAGGACCAATGACAATCCAGACCTGGGGACCCGCACAGACCGCAGAACTGGGACCCTCTCTGACACAGACCCCAGGCATTCATGTTTTCGGAGGTAAACTGAAATACACAGCTCTATTTTCTACACATTACTTTGCCACTAACATTTCTGTCCGTATTTCTCCACACAAACTGCCATCTTTTAAGTTTCAGTCTATCAGTCTGGACTGTCAAGATCTTGACTCTGTCACCCAGTGTAGTGCTCCTCCTTCCCAGCTTCCTCGTCATCATCACCTACATGCTGGAAGCAGGCCTCCTCCATCCCGACTCAAGCAGTGATAAAGAGCTGAAACAGGCTGGATGGCAGCCGCCATGCAGCCCCACCTTTGACTGGATGAGTTTTTATTTACTAATGCATTTCTTTGTGAGCCACCAGAGTGCTCAGCTCATCGCACAAACCACACTAATGGACAGGGAAGTTCTCCATTTTCAGATATTCTCAGCTAAGTGACTGTCTGCAGAAAATGGTATCATATAGAAAAAAATCATCATTAAGAAGAAATGTGAAAACGAATATATGTATATATATGCATGACTGGGATATTATGCTGTACCCCAGAAACTGACATACTGTAAATGACAGTACTTCAATTAAAAAAATAATAAAAAAAGAATGTAACCCTTACAACTCATTCACAAAAGGACAAATAACCCAATTTAAAATTCGGCAAAGGATCTGAATAGACATTTCTCTAAAAGTGACACACAAAAGGCCACTGGGCACATGAAAAGATGCTCAGTATCATTAGTCATCATGCAAATGCAAATCAAAACCAGAAGAAGACACTATTTCACATCCATTGGAATGGCTATGATCAAAAAATCAGATAATAAGCATCAGTGAGGACGTGGAGACACTGGAACCCTTATAAACTCCTGGTGGGAAAGGAGAATGGTGCAGCTCCTTGGAAAACAGGTGAAGTCAAACCTCAAGTCACCATATGATCTAGCAGTTCCACTGTGAACTGGAGTGGAAAACGTGGGGCTATACAAAACCACATATGTGAATGCTCACAGCAGCAGTACCTGTAACTGCCAAAAAGTGGAAACAACCCAGACGCCCACCAACTGATAGCAGATAAGCAGAATGTGGTCTATCCACCCAGTGCAGTATTATTCAGCCATAAAAAGGAATGAAGTACTGATATGGACTCTAACACGGGTGAACCTTGAAAACGTTATCCCACGTTTAAGAAGCAAGACCAAAAGGCCACCTCGTGGATGATTCCACCTGGCTGACGTCCAAAAGAGGCAAATCTAAAGACAGAAAGAAGAGCAGTGGACGCCGAGGGCTGAGGGAGGCGGGGAAAAATGAGAAGTAACTTACTAACGAGGACAAGATTTCTGTCTGGGGTGGTGAAATGTTTCTAAAATCCATTGCGGGGAGGGTGGCGCAACTGTACAGAAAATCACTGAACTGTGTGCTTTAAATAGGGAAACCGTATGCTGTGTGGGTTATAGCTCAATAAAGCTGTTAACGAAGAACAGGCGTCAGATAGGAAGGACCACTGTCTACCTTTCATGCTGACACACACGATGGCTGAGACGGTGCATATAATCACTGCCAGGAGAACCATGAGGACGATCAGGTAACTGCTGAGCAGGACTCCGCCAGCACAGTCCAGCTTCCCTCTGTGCAGGAGGTACAGGCTCAGAATGCCGATCCACCTGCCGAGAAACAGCGATGGTCAGGGATGGAAGCCAAGGAGCTGCTCTGTCAAACATGATGGAAAAAAATAAGCGGAGCTAATTTTGGGGGGGGGTGGGTATGGGAGGAGGTAATTAGGTTTATTTTTATTTTTTAAGCGGAGGTACTGGGGATTGAACCCAGGACCTCGTGCATGTTAAGCACGCCCTCTACCATTGAACTATACCCTCCGAACTATACCCTCCCCAGTTGTTCAAAGTGAAGTAAGCCAGAAAGAGAAGGAAAAATCCCATATGATATCACTTATGTGTGGAATCTAAAAAAAAAGAAGACAAACAAACTTATTTATAAAACAGAAACAGACTCACAGACATAGAAAACAAACTTATGGTTACCAGAGGGAGGAAGAAGTTGGGAAGGGATACATTGGGAGTCTGCGATTTGCAGATATGAACCACTATATATACAACAGATAAGCAAAAAGTATAGCACAGGGAACTATTTTCAATATCTTGTAGCAACCTATTATGAAAAAAGAATATGAAAACGAATATATGTGTGTGTATCTATGACTGAAACATTATGCTGTACACTAGAAATTGATACCACATTGTAAACTGATTAGACTTCAGTAAAAAAAAAAAATAAAAAAGGAGTTAATACTTTCCAAAACAATATGAGGCTCACTTTAGAATTTCATTTTCATCAACAAAAGATTTAGTCCATCAACTAAAGAGTACGGCTTTTTTTTTTAACTTTTAATGAGCTTTATACTTCATACACTTACATCACTGCTCTTAGTCTATGCCTGCTGTCACACATTTAAAGTCATAAGCAAGCAAATATAATGTGAACTGCCCGAAAACAGCCCCACCATGACTCTGAGATACAGAACTGGTAAACCAACCGAGTAGATGCTTGTTTAGCTGTCAACCAGAGAAGTTTTACTTCTGTGGCTTAACAAGTTGATAAACACACATGGTACTCTGCTGGGCGTTGTACAAAAACAAGGGGGTGGGAAGCCAGTTACACAAAGATGTTCCACAGTGCACACAGATAAACGTGAAAGGACAAGTACTGAGGACTTATAAATATATTCTGTAATTCAGTGCAAAACAATGAAAGGCAGCACCAAACAATGCAACATGAGAGTGACTCGTCACTAGAGTTATTTCAGAGGTGCGCAGAGCAAATGCAGCAAGAATGTGGTACTAAGGATTCAAGGCCATAAGGGGAATTGGACTAGATAACTTTTTACATTTTTGTCACTTTTGTGATATTATGATCCTGTGTCTAGAAATAATAGCAGGAAATGACCTCAGAAAGGCTTGGCTCTGACAACTGTGAAACTACTGAGAAGCAGCTCATTTGTTGATAGTTCCTTCCCCTCAAGAATCCTTAAAAAAAATGGTATTATTCCCTGCTCGGCCCCTCTGGGGACAGAGTTCAGGCTCTCAATTCCACTTCCCACGGTTGCCACGCTGTGAAAGACAAAAGCGTAAATGCCAGCCCTGGTGCTCACCAGGGAATTTGGCCACAACCAGTTAAAGAACCGCACAGAAGGGCTATTATCGGCAGTCTATCATTTGGCAGGTACAAGATGCTGTGCGTTTCCAGGCAGACCGCTGAAGTGATGCAGGTGGCAGCTCCAGGCTCCAGGAAGGAGATCTTGACGCCATGGCTTGTGGGCAGCAGTGCAGTCCTGGTGGCTCCTGGTCCAGGTCCCGGCGCCAAACGCTGGGGGCCCCGTGCCCCTCAGCTCAGACGTCGGAGTGGGCCCACCTGT